ATATATCACCTTGCTTACAGTATCGCAATATATCGGGATATATCGTATCGTGACCCCTCTGTTATGATATGTATCGTATCGCCAAATTCTTGCCAATACAAAGCCCTACTTACAACTTCATAAAGCCAAGAGTTGTTCTTAATAAAGCAGAGGTTCTCAAACTGGGGTCTCAGGACCCGCAGGGGTCCATGAGACGTATCTTAGGGGTCCTTAAAAAAGTTCGCTAAATTGTTAATTTGGTTTTTATTTTTAAAAGTGCATGAAGAACAATGAACTAACAAAACAAACATAATAAACTAAATAAAAATATATATTCCCATGGCATTTAGGTGTTGAAACGATAATAAATTATCTTTTTTAAACAGCATGGGGCTTATGAGGGGATCCCTGGATATTTTTTCGCCATTTTAAGGGGTCCCCAGACCCAAACGGTTTGAGAACCCCTGTAATAAAGCATATTTTATCAGGACAGTTTGATTGGTTCTTTTGATTTCTGAGAACAGACTTATAGGTTTTGGATCTGAGCTGCTGAAGGATAAAAGCAAAGATAAATGAGAGAGACACATATGATAAGAGTCATTTTTGGTAAGGCTCACCTTTGCTTGTTTAAGTAGGTAAGTAAGTAAGTAAGAAGTAAGTAAGTAAGTAAGTAGTAAGTAAGTAAGTAAGTAAGAAGTAAGTAAGTAAGAAGTAAGTAAGTAAGTAGTAAGAAAGTAAGTAAGTAAGTAAACTTTATTTCTATAGCACCTTTCACAGACACAAACATCAAAAAATGCTTCACAGAAAGCAAAAATAATTAAAAACAATAAAACAGATCACAGATATAAAAACTACAAATTTGGCCCAAAGTATAGCAGGTTATTTCACAATATAATAATATCACACCCCTATCATGATTTACTATTTCAGATTTCAGTTGTAACATTTCTCCTACTCAAAATCCTGTTCTCACTGATCAAAATTGATATTAAAGAGATTTAAATTATTTTTATACAAAAAGAAATTAAAAGTAAATTATTACAAGAAGAAATTTGCAACTTGAGTGTTCTTTGGGTGCAATTTTTTCCTTATATGCATCAAAATGAAAGATAACTAAACAAGCTGCAATGCCCTGTACCAACTCCAGAGAGCAAACAGGCAGAGCTGAGCACACAGGAAATGTTGAACAAGTGTTGTTTTCCCAGCTTAATACACCTCCATGCATTGGTCTCACCCTGTTCAACTTGATGAATAAAAAATTATTCTGTAGCTGCAGCCTGGTTTAGTATTTTACCAGAGTCGATCTGTGATGAGAGTGTATCAAATCTGCAGAAACTTCTTTGATTCAGACAGAAAGATGTTTGTTTTTAAAATCTCAATCTGAAAAATATTTTGCAGTAAAATCTGTTCCAAATCAATCAAAACAAAGAAAAATACTCAGAATCTTGTTAGAAGACGAAATAATGATGAAAATGGTCTCCAGCAGATCAGGGATCAGAGTGTCCCTGCTGTCAGCTGTGAGATAATATCAGCTCTGATTAAAAACACCTTCTGGTAGATTTTTACCCATCTGATCTACAGGCAGCATCACCTGTGCAGAGACTTAAGTCCAGACTGAGCTCTGCAAAAAATAGCATTCATGTCGTAATAACACAAAGTAAATAAATAACATTCAGACAACTCACAAAGCCTAAAGAACAAACAAAAGGTAAAACAACCAATWTGGATCTGATTTCCTGTAACAGAACTTTGGCTCATAGTGTAAAAATTAAAAAGTTGTTAAGGATTGCTAGTTCGGCTGATTCTTTAAAAAGTTGTTGAGGATTGCTAGTTCGGCTGATTCTTTAAAAAGTTGTTGAGGATTGTTAGTTCTGCTGCTTCTTTGTCTTTTTCTGTTTGTTGTAGATTTTTCATTAAAGAAGCATCAATAAGGTAATTCTAGAACTGACAAGGTTGGTGGTTAGGATTCAGCCAAACACAAAGAAGTTTTAACAAAATTTATTAAAACAAAACTGCAGAGGTTCAGGGGCTTCAGGCAGGAACACTCTGGAAAGAGAGATTGGGTGARTGACTGGAGCAGGTAACGAGAAATGGTAAGAGTTAGAAACAACGTGTCACTAACCTTCTCAAGAGGGAGAGGAGAGCTGAACCCAGAGCATGAAAGTCCTGTTGAAAAACGAGCACTCTTGGCGTAGACAGTTTTGCTTTAGGTGAGTGGTGGGCAAACTGTAGGAGAGGGAGGCCTTTAATCCAAGGCAGTGATACAAAGGAAAAAGACTTGCTTGTGGTTTGCTTGGCGTGGAGCAGGGGTAATGCACAGGAGAGCTGAGAGCCAAAGATAATCCAGAGGGAGATTCTGAGTACAAGGTCCAGTGAGCAGAAACCGGGTCGAAATCCAGAAGGTCAGAGAGRCGAACTGAGTCAGGCAAGGAGCAGGCAGATCAGGGGAACCAAGAAGCAGGACCGTGACCGTGGAATCAGGCAGGAACTTAGGAAGAATGCTGGACATCTACTTGCTGAGAACGTTCAATAATCTGTCAGAGATCTAGTGTGAAGAGAGGGTTTATATGGAGCAGGATACAGGTGAATTTCATGAGCCTGATTGCAGCTGAAACCAAATGGGCGTGGCAGAGTGGCAGTGAGTTGAGACTGAGGAAGAGCAGACAGGTGACATGTTACAGAGCCCCCTCATCAAGGTCCGGCTCCTGACGGACCACAGGGCTGATTCGGGTGGGACCGATGAAACTCCTTAATCAGGTCCTTGTCCAGGATGTGGCGTGCAGGAACCCAAGAACATTCCTCTGGGCCATATCCCTCCCAGTCCACCAGGTAGTGGAGACCCTGACCCCAGCGTCTGGAGCGTAGGAGTCTCCTGACCGTATAGGCAGGAGCACCATCAATGAGTCGGGTGGGGGGCGAGGATCTGGAGGAGGAGCCAAAACGGGACTGCACCAGAGGCTTGATCCGGGACACATGAAATATAGGGTGAATCCTCATGGCACGAGGAAGCTGAAGTTGGACCGCCACAGGGTTCACCACCTTAGAGAATGGAAAAGGTCCTACAAAGCGAGGGGCTAGTTTACGGCTCTCCACATGGAGGGGTAGGTCTTTAGTGGACAGCCAGACCCTCTGCCCTACTTGGTATGGCGGATTCACGGTACGACGTCGGTCGGCGGTTCTGGTGTAGACTGTGGACATTCTGATGAGGGCACTTCTAGCTCTACTCCAGACCTGCTGACACCTGTGGGCGGCCGAGTAGGCAGAAGGAACCCTGGCAGTCTTCTCCTGGAGAGTAAACACTGGTGGTTGGTAACCATATACAGTATTAAAAGGAGACTGACCTGTGGCACATGATGGCAGGGAGTTCAGTGCATGTTCCACCCAGGGGAGGTTGAGTGACCACTTGGCTGGGTCGTCCTCACACAATAGGCGAAGCTTGGTCTCAACTTCCTGATTAGCCCTCTCAGATTGACTGTCTGTCTGTGGGTGGAAACCAGAAGACAGGCTGACAGAGATACCCAAAAGATTGCAAAACTCTCTCCAAAATTGAGAAATAAATTGGGGACCCCGGTCAGAGACAATGTCAGATAGAAGTCCATGAAGGCGAAACACTTCACGGACCAGGATCTCGCCCATTTCTTTGGAAGATGGGAGCTTCTTTAGGGGAAGCAGATGAACCTTCTTAGAGAACCTGTCAACAATGGTGAAAATGACGGTGTGACCATTAGAAGGAGGCAAACCGGTAATAAAATCCATTGAGAGGTGGGACCAAGGTCGGGGTGGGATGGGGAGGGGGCGCAGCAGACCAGCCGGAGGTCGTCGGGAAGTCTTTGCCTGAGAGCACTGGTGGCATGAGGACACAAATTCCTTGACATCTTTGACCAAATCCTTCCACCAAAACTGGGACCTCACTACTGACAGAGTCTTATTGACACCAGGATGACAAAACAGGCGCGTCTTATGGCAAAAACCAAGTACCTTTTCAATTAGATGATCAGGGACAAATAGGCGCTCAGGGGGACACTCAGGAGGAGGAGGGTAAATGTGGTGGGACCTCCTGACATCCTCTTCTAGTTGAGTGACTGAGAGTCGAGCCTTCTCCGGCAGAATGAAACCACCCTCACTAGTCCCATCCTCTTCAGACTGCTCCAGGATTCTGGAGAGAGCGTCAGGCTTGACGTTTTTAGTCCCCGGTCTGTGAGAAAGTCTTGGACTCAGTCTCTTGGCTGTCTTTAAATATTCCAAGTTCTTGTGGTCAGTCCACACCACAAAGGGTTCCTTGGCCCCCTCCAACCAGTGTCTCCATTCTTCGAGAGCCAACTTCACTGCCAGAAGCTCTCGTTCTCCAACATCATAATTTCGTTCTGCACTGGACAGGCTTCTGGAAAAAAAGGCACAGGGATGAACCTTCTTATCACAAAAACGTTGACTAATGACAGCCCCTACGCCAGTATTGGAAGCATCCACCTCAACAACAAACTGTCGGTCAGGGTCTGGGGAGCGAAGAACAGGAGCAGAGACAAACAGTTTCTTGAGCTTATCAAAGTCTCTCTCAGCTTGATCGTTCCATACAAACTTTGTCTTAATAGATGTTAAGGCATGAAGAGGAGCAGTTACCTGACTGTAGTTTCTGAAAAACTTGCGGTAGAAGTTAGAGAAACCAAGGAACCTTTGCAACTGTTTCCTGTCTCGAGGTGTAGGCCAGTCTCGTACAGCAGTGACCTTAGTGATGTCCATGGAAACCTGATTAGGGGAAATGATGAACCCCAAAAAAGAGGTTGTTGTCTGGTGGAACTCGCACTTTTCTGCTTTGACAAAAAGGTTGTTCTGCAAGAGTCTCAACAGAACAGATCTTACGTGATTCCTATGGGACTGCAGATCCTTAGAAAAGATTAAGATGTCATCCAGGTAAACATACACAAAACGATTCACCATGTCCTTTAGAACATCATTCACAAGTGCTTGAAAAACAGCAGGAGCATTGGTTAGTCCAAAAGGCATCACCAAATATTCATAATGACCATTAGGGGTGTTAAAGGCAGTCTTCCATTCATCACCCTCCCTAATGCGGACCAGATGGTAAGCATTTCTCAAGTCCAACTTTGTGAAAAATGATGACCCCTGAATGAGATCAAAAGCAGAGCTCATGATGGGTAACAGATACTTGTTCCTGATGGTTATTTTATTCAGGCCTCTGAGTGTACCATCCTTTTTACCAACAAATATGTGTTTATTTGGGAGGGATGCTGTTGGATAGATCACGTGTGTTGTGATTCTTTGACAGTCTTACCTTCAGTTGTTCAAGATAATGATGACTGGTATATAATTAATTAGCGGTACTGCATTTTCATTTTAGAAAGCACAAATCTGTTTATGAATTGCAATAATTAGTAGGTCTGTTAAATTGTAAATGAAATATTTAGGTCTGCTCTTAGTGAATTTGCACCTTAGTGGGCTTGTGCCCACCCACTGCAAACAACCATTCACTCTCTCACTCACACCTAGGGACAATTTAGAGTTACCAATTAACCTGACAGTCATGTTTCTGTGGGAGGAAACTCATGCATGCACAGAGAGAACATGCAAACTCTACCCAGAAAGGTTCTCAGCCAGGGTTCAACCTTCTTGCTGAGAGGCAACAGCTCTACCAACTGAGCCACTGTGCAACCCTTGCAAAACTTGATAAAATGTAACTTAGCATAAACTTAGCTAAAATGAGCAAAACTGGAGATGAGTATTAAGAAAACCATAACTAAAAGCTAAACTCAGCAAAACAGTTAAAGTTAAACGTACCAAAACTGTATCTAAAATTTCTAAAATCATAAATAAATGTAAAAACTGTCTCTAGTTACTACAATTTATAAAATCATACGTGAAAGGTAAAACTACCTATAAGCAGTAGCTATAGCCTATAGCTAAAGGTGTCATAAGAAAACAAAAACTGAGCCAGTAGCTTAAGTAAATTCAAAGAAAACAATGTTTTTGAAGGAACAGATATCTCAGTGTGTTTCTGTGGGGAAAATATTAATGTAGTCAAATTGTTTGAAAGGTCTTAGCTGTTTTGATATATGAACGGCCAAACTGACTGACAGGCAGAATAAACAACGGGAAAACAATAGTGCTGACTCAGCATAAACAGTTTCAATCTAAATGATATTTAATAAATGTTCTTCTGCTTTACAAGTACATAAAATTAATTAGTTTGAAACACTGAGACATTTTCAGTAGCCCCCCCCCCACACACACACACACAAAAAAATCCATCTGGGATCCTTCCTCCTTCCTTAGGTCTGAAACCTCCTGTTGTGTTCAAGTTTATCAATCATTTCTTAATTTTGGTTTATTCCTGGATGATCATGTTGGTGTCAGAGCTGCAGCCTCCTCATTCCTCAGGATCCAGATAAACACCTATATAT